GGATGTGTGTGTGTGTGAGGGCGAAGTGTGTGTGTGACCGACCGAATTTGAGACGAATAATTAATCGTCACTTAAACCACCATAGTGCGAGAGGTCGGCCATCGCCGTCTTGACGCGGAACTGTTGTGAAGTACTCCCACCAGGGTTGTCCGTTACCATTGATACCGCCTAAGCAGAAGTCAATCTCGGCGTCTTGTCCTTCAGGTCGGGTGACAGGAGACTCGCCTTGATTGTGCGCGTCGATCACAAAGTGACGGCCCGTTACTACGAACCAGGATGCTTGGCTTTGAATGAAAACAACGCGGTACGTGCTGTTCTCTTGAAGCCAGTAATCGATATCCGGTGCGAACTAGCAAGTATCAGGCTCTTAGGCGTAGATGCGACGACAAACAGCTCACATTCAGAGTACCGTACAGATCTACCGTACTACGAGTCAGGTTCCATGTCATCTTCCTGGAAGGTCACTCAACGATGAGGTCAACTCAAAAGGTACTGCCCATGACCTTACCGGGTGATGTTGAAATCGCCTTCGTTGAGTGTGATGGATCCGTCCGTGCCACATACATCGATTGCCGCAAGAATCTGGTCATCCCGTCAATCCCTTTCAGCACTCTCGGCGCCCTGCATCCACGAGGTATACCTGGCTCGTATCGTCTTGACCGTCACCCAAGGGATTAAGTACACAGTCAGCTGCGAAGACAGAGCGGCCCAGTGTCAAGAAGATGGCCGCGACACTATATGATAACTTCATAGCGATGAACTTGGGGAGTCAGGCTGTATTGCTTCTGGTTTTTCTCCGGCTTTATAACGAGTACGCCAATGGCGTAGAGACAGATTAGCGCCGGAGAAGCGCGTCATGGGCCTACCACCTGATTCTGTAGGCGGCGCGCTCGGGTTGATATATAGTGGGTAGAATGGTTCTGCAGACATCATGCGGCTTGTACGGCAGCCCTATTATGGAGGGAAGTTCTTGATGCGGTGTCGAGAAGTCCGAAGGTCATTGAAAGGGTCCGCGAAACCGCCGCGCCTGATATCGCCGTCAATCGTACATATGTACATTTACAGCGAGCCCAAGTGTTCCGCAGGTCTAGCAAGCTGTCCCTGTCGATCAGCAACGGCAGTGAAACAAGCACATGCGGTTGACTCACATATACCTGTCACATTGACCGCGTTGCTGCATTCGTACTTCGCCGAGTCTGTCGAGGGCGGAGAGACGTCGAAGTTAATGAACGTCAGATCCGGACAAGGTACAGCAGAACTGCACGCAATGTTGACCACTGTGGACGAATATCAGCGAACCAGACTAGACAAGTCATCAGGAGGGCGGCGTACAAGTAGCTCCATCGGCAGTGCCAGTCCAATTCTCCCAGGTGATGTTGCTGAATTGGAGCGTAGAGGGTTCATCCGCACTGTGACCGCCATTTGTCTGGTAGATGTGCGTGGGGAGGTCGACGTCGCTCAGTGTGAAGTTGACGAATCGTATGTTGGACACATAACCTGTAACAGACCTGTCAGAGGCCCGCTGCGACACGACTCGAAGTGCTGAGAACATACCTGAGCCACCACCTCCGCCGGTTGGAGGCTCCCCGTTGACGGTGCCGGTCCACGTCTTGAGGTAGACACCCGCACCCATATTGGGTTGAAGGGTCTTGTTGATGCGCTCCACCTGCACAAAAGTGTCAACGACTTTCGCCCGACTGCACAGTTCATAGTCCGACTTACCACAACGTTGCTCAACGTAACGTTGTCGACAATGTCAGACTGTATGACATATCAGCTAGGTACCGATCCTCCAAACTTGTACCAGACTGACCATGTTCACGTATTGCCCGAGAGAGCCAAACGCGATTCCATTACCGCCATGACAGGTAACCTGAAGTTGCATCAGCTCGCGCTCGTTCTAGGCGATTGTATGGCCTCACGTTGTTTGCGAGAATGTTGGTCGAGTTCTACACACCATCAGCGGCTTTCGCGCACAAGGCGGACTGCACACTCACCCCTTTGATAGCGAGACAATCATCGCCACAAGTGATCTATTGACTGTTGTCAGTCTCATCAAGAGAAAGGTGTACGGCCCGACTGACGTCCCAGTTCAGCAGCTGGACGTTGCTACTTCTGTATGTGTTGATACCGTCCGTATTGGGCACAATACTGCTAGGTATCAGTCATCCTGCCTCTTGCGATATGATGAAGGGAAGCGTACTTCTGTCCGAAGAACTCCGGATTGCCGTTGGTCGCGTTGCACTTCATCCCATCGTAAACGACGTTGTCAGACTCCGCGACAGTGTTGCACCAGAACGGCTGAGCCTGGATATGGAAGTCCTTGACAGTGCCGTTGCTGACTTGGTACAAGGTGAGCGCGAGCGGGCGGCCATCGCCATCTTCACGCGTGACGTTGGTGAAGTAGTTCCACCAGGTTTGTCCATTGCCGTTGATACCGCCTAGACGACGATAGCTAAGAAGGATGATGGATATCGGGATGAAGTTGTACGGACCTTGGTTGTGCGCGTCGATAACGAAGTCCGACCCGGTCACCACGAACCACGAAGCCTGACTTTGAATGAACACGACTCGATATGTGTTCTCGGGGTCAAGCCAGTATTCGACATCGGGGGTGAACTTCCGCACGTAAGCCTCACAAGCAATGCATCTAGAAGACGAGCTCACGCTCAACCATCCGCGAAGGTCCACCCTACTACGAGACAAATCCCATGTCATTTTCCTGGTAATGTTGAACTCGCCCTCATTCAAAGTGACCGTTCCGTCGGTACCACATTGGTCGATCGCTGCGAGCACCTGAACAGCACGTCAGACAAGCCCATATGCGAGTCAAGACACTACGTACTTGGTCTGTATCGTCCTGGCCATCTCCAAGAGGGCTCAGTACGCAGTCAGATGCCAGAGCTACACCGGCAAGCGGTGATAGAAGAGCTGCAAGCTGTAGAGCTCTCATGTTCGCGAAGTCAATTCAGCCACGTTGAGAAGCTCCAGAACCATAGGGAGCTATATAGCTACCCCGGGAGGATGAGGTGGCGCTCTTCTCGGGCGTCATGAGCCTGGCAGCTGATCCCGTCGAACGGAACGGGCGGGCCACAAGTATCCTCTAAGTCGGGATGAACGAGCGTCACGCGGCTCGTGCGCTGATGGACAGCACTTGCCGACGGCGTTGAGCATCATCGGAACGAATATAGAAAAGAATTGAGGATTGGCAGTGACGAAGGCCTAATAGAGTGCTGTACCACGCGACTTGACCGCCGCGCGCAAGAATAGATCCTGGGTTCAAAGAAGGACCATACATATGTATGCCATATGAAGAAATGGCAGCAGGGTGCGATAGTTCGTTGACGGCTTGTGCCTGTGCAGAAGAGGGGTGATCAACGTTACTGTAACGATTGATGGTGGTGAGAGTGAGAGCACCATGTCGGCACCGCGCGCGTCGGCTCTCGTTGAGCGCGTTGAACGTCGCGCCCTATTAGTTGCCACCCGCCACCATCTTCTGCCTCTTGCTTTAACTTCGCGTAATTGTATCAGTGTTCTCGCTCTTGCTTTCTGGTACTTGCTGTGTGCTCGGATCATTTTCTCGGATAATTGTCGTGCCCTTTCACTATGTCTGGGAAGGCTGCTACTACGAGCCTCATCTCGGTCGTTCTCGTAATCGATGCGAGCCTCACTGTCGCAGGAGAATGGCATCGCCTTCTGAGTGATTGTGTCGGCTCTATTACCCAACGCCTGATATCGGAGATACATCCTGAAAGCGAGGTGCGTGCTGCAATGTAATGTCCGAGACTCTGCACTCATGCGTATTAGATGAGGATGGGCTATGTGGCGTACGGCGCGGCTGAAGGACTAGAGGGTCCTATCGTGGATCAACGCTTTTTTCAGGATCATAAGTCCCTCACGCGAGATCTCACGACAAAGCACACGGAGATGGGTATCGGCCGTGCAAGTGGCACATGTGAGATTGGACTGTCTGCTCTAGAAGCATACGCTTGCGCTTTGGAGGTGCGTGTTCCCGAAGACTATCAGATGCCTGCATTTGTCTAACATACTTGGGAAATAGATGTTTGATCAACAACGACACGCGGCCAACTTCCAGCCGCTCAAGGCGATTACATTGAATACGGACAAGGAGCCCCAAAAGACCTATAATCGGCACGACTATATAATACACATTGCTGCAGCCGAACCTGATGATGCTCGTCGTCCTCGACATAACGACTCGGTCGATTACGACGAACTCAACTGGGATACGCTACCGTCAGAGATCAAGAAGCACAACATTCGCCTGTGCATGAATCTCTTGAAGCCTATCAAGAGATTCAACGATCTGTTCGACGCAGTAAGGCCACATTAGTTATTTTAGTTATTGGGAACGCTGTCTGATTCCGGAATAGGTTAGCGAAGGTCCACGCTCGACACCTTGGTTCTCGACGCCACCAAAGCATACACTGCTTCTCTACGGGTTTCCCCCGCCTCGCACCAAGCGTGCGTTTCTATTACGCACATCCGTCCCTTCTGACCCTAATACATGTTCATAGCGTCTAAACGACCGGTCGAAATCGAGCGTTCTCCTGCTCAGAAGCGCGCACGCATCAAAGACGTGCCGTCACCGTCATCCCCTGTGAAAGCCAACTCGGGCAGCAGCCCCTACATGTCACCAGCGGCGGTTAAGACCCCAAAGCAAACACCCGCTGTACCAAAACCCCCCACTGAGCCAAAGTCCACGCCGGTTCTGAACGCTGCACAGCCTCCCACGCCTGCAACGGTACCAGCGGCCATGCCCGTCCTTTCTCCCGTACCCCCAGCATCAGCACCCATTCCCCCTCCCGCTGCGGCTCCGGCTCCGCACCCTGCAGCCGCACCCAAGATGGCCGCACCGGCCCTCCCGTCGATCCTGGATCACTGGGGCTATCGCACAGAGATCAAGTCCCATCCCCGCTTTGAAGCCGGCCTCCAAAACCCTCAACAACGCTTGCTTGTGGAGTTCATGGAGAAGTACGACCCAATCTACACCGAACAGATGTTCAAGGCGCAAGCTCGTAAACGCATGAACCAGCCAGATCCACCCGAGTTCCTTAGCCAGATGAGGAAACTGAAAAACATGTTCGAGCTCGGATCGCATGCACTCAAGCAGTGGAACGACGGTGGTCCACCGGTCAACTTCGACCAAATCAAGTTGCGCGCGAACATGATGGTTGCCAATCCAGCCGCCGCCGCCGCCGCAGCAGCAGCGCAAGGTCAGGTCGCTCAAGGCCAGGCTCACAATCAGAATCTGGCACCGACCGCACAGGGCATACTCAACCAGATGAACGAGGCGTCGAGATTGACCGCACGTGGTGGGATGCCGCCTCCCGCCGGTGCGTCCGCCAACGCCGATGCGGGCCCGCGCCCGCCGTCGCAGCCAGCGCTCCCTCAACAACCACAACAGCAGTCATCTATCTCGACATCTCAGCCTGCCGCTAATGCGATGTCGCCACAATTCCAAAAGCAGTGGAGAGGCGGCTTGGTTGTCCATTCCCCCAGGCCGAATGCGCAGGCTCAGATGGTGCGGTTCGAGGTTACTATATCACATCAAGCCATGCACGACCCGTGCGTATACTTTACCCATGCTTTTCCATCCTCGCCATTCAAGAGACTGTTGCAGTATGATGTCTACCTGGCCGCAGAACATCGATGTGAGAATCATGCCCAACTTAACGTTTTATCCGAAGGACCTCGATGTATGGCTCATGGCCCTCAATAAGCGTGAGCGGATATACTCGGTTGTGACCGTAAGGGCTCCGGAGAGCCCGAACCCGACCCTTAGAGAGCAGATGCGGCAAGGCGTCGAGAGATTGACCTCGGTCCTTACCCAACAGAATTGCGTGCGTTTACTCTTTTGACACGGTCGAACCTCACTGACATTGCTCCTTGATACAGCTCGCCGGCGCTTCGTGGAATATCCCCGGGAAGGGGATTGCTCCGACAGCCTTGTTTGCGCGTATGCCTGCAGGTCCACCCGATGCCCATCTCATAGCGATCGTCTTCCCTCAAACCGGCTTTGACAAGACCGATCTTCCTCCCAACGCTGCCGCTCAAGCACAAGCTCAGGCACAAGCCCGAGCCCGAGCTCAAGCTCAGGCTCAAGGCCAGGGCTCACCGCAGCAGCACCAAAACCAGAACACCCAAGTGCAGCCGCAACGACCGCAACCGAGCAACATCGGTATGAATGGCGGTCGCATCCCAAATGCGCAGGAGATAGCCGTGATGCAGAGGATCGCGCAGGAGATGGGCATCCCGTGGGAGGAGTTTCGAGCACTATCGAAGGAGGACACGGGCAAGGTCATGGCAGTGTTTCAGAGTCGGCGGGCGCAAGCGAGGAATAATGTGATGGCTGGCGGAATGGGCGGTGGTGGGGTGAGACCGGGGATGCAGGGTGCAGCTGGGAACGCTATGGGGATGCAGATGCAGCAGTTGCAGCAGCAACAGCAACAACAGCAGCAGAGGCAGATGCAGGCAGCGCTGCTCGGTCGCGCGGGTGTGCCGAGCAACCCGTTTGCGGGACTCTCAGCGTCTACCCCTGGTTTCGCGGGGATGAACGGCGGCGGGGGTGGTGGAGGCAACAACATCGGGGGTCTGAATCCAGGGATCAACGTCGGAGCGCTCGGCGGCATGCAGCCCCAAGGCGCTGGATCGATGGGTGGAGGATTCCCGGTGTCGCAGGACCAGATGTCCTCTTGGATGCAGCGGACTGGTCGTTGAACTTGAGGTCAATTGAGCGAGCGCGTTTGGGTTCTTTGGATACAATCATTCACATGGTTTTTGCATTGCTTCTTGGTTATGTATTGTACACTTGCTTTCTTATCTGCTTTCATTCCTGTTCTTGTATTTGTACATATTAAACGACGTCTTTCTTTCCACCTTGCCTATCCTACGTGCCCGGCGCGCTGAAGTTGCCCTCTGTGCCGCGGATCTTTTGGTGGTCCGCTGGATTTGCCTGTGCCTCGTAGACGGTTACGATCGGAGCGTTCTTTTTCTGAATGAAATGGATCAGAGCTGTAATTCTCTGTGGGGGAGAGTACGTTACCTCGGACCAGACGCCCAGGAAGCCGATGTAGTATATGCGGGTTGTGTCTGCGCCTTGGGACGCCGGGAAGAAGAGGGTAATGGATGATACCGACGAGAACCGCGCAGCTCTACGTGCCAATATGTCAACTCATTGAACATGTCACCGGGTGAATACTTGAACTCACTTCAGCGCATACTCGCCGACATCGCGAGATTCGGCTACCGCGAACTCCTGGGACGGCTCTTTGTCCGCCGCGTCGGAGAAGTCAAGGTCATCCGCGTTGGCGAACTGTAAAAAGGAGAACAATAAGTCATTACCATGACTTGTGTGATTGCAGCACCGGTAAGGATGACACATACAATGGCCACTTTCTCGGGCGTTTGGTCGGTTGGCCCAGTCTTGAGCAACAGAGAGCGCAATCTGACGGAGCCGGTGAATGGGATGCGAACAATTCTGCTCAACTCTCAGACGCGCACTCAAAATGAGAACGCGGGTTGCGTACAGCTGGTCGTCTGCGTCGCTCTCAATGAACTACCCTTCCAGACGCGTGGCTCAGCATGCTGTTTGGCGTAAGTACAAGTGACAGAGCTTACGGCTCCCTCGTCTGTTCTCTCATGCCAGGGTTTGATCACAACAGAGCCCGACGTAGTCGAGTTCAAAGCGACGGCGTTTGCGCGGTCAATATGCGCGAAGAGGTTGTCCTGCGGTCCGCCGCCGGGCGCGTCGTGGTCGTGATCATGGTCGTGCTCATGCGAGCATGAGGCATCGTGGTGGTGATGATCGTGAGGCATGATGCGTATTGAGTTTAGAGCGCGGTGATAAGCTCTTGGTTCTGGAGTCTGCGATAACTCTACTTCGACATGGGTGTCGGAAGCAGAAGCTTGCGAGTGGCGAAGCCGCCGTCTTTGTGGCGGGAGTGCATTATATCCCGCTCGCGTGGCAGATTCCGCGTCGAAATTTATCTGCGCTGCCGGCGGCGAGTCTCTTGCCGTTGACCACGGTGACGACGAGGACGACCTCACTCCGTGTCCTTCTTGCACGTTTGGGGTGTCAGACGTACTCGGATAGGTCGAGGCTCCTTCAAGTATACCAGAGAAGGAGGTCAAAGTGGGACTCGGCTACCCCATCCGTTCCTTGCCTTGTGGTTGAACTCTTGCGCGTGAGTGCTCCTCTCCCGTCCGCACCCCTCTACGTTTCCTATGATGTGTTACTCGTAATTTGCGTTCGATCCTGTCGGCCTTGTACCAAAGGGGCTCACGCCTAGAGCCCTTGAGGTCGACAGCATGAGACAGACCTACGCTTCTGAGCTTCCCTTCTGTGAATCTCCACTTCTACGACCCGAGCTGACCACCCTCCAGTGTTTACAGGTTATATTATGCTATCGTTACGAATGTACATGTATGTATGAGTATCAACCGAGTTATCGTTGGATGGCCTCGGTCAACAATATATTTTTGCTTGTCGACCAACCTCGCCCGATAACTGCCGCCGGCTTCGTCTCCAACCACGTATCAAATACCCTACGGTACGGATATAGCGGAGGCTATGTCCATCGAAGATGACGATATCGCCTGCGTGATCGCGGTTGGCGTTGCACCAACGGTCGCTCCCCGGACTCCACGACCGTGCACGCCCCGGCCTCGGGCCCTCGCCCTGCCGCCAACTTGCCGCAAGGAGGCTAACCTTCATCTCGATCGCACGGCGCACCTCGAAGTTCGTGATGGTGGCTCGCATAGAAATATCACTCCGACGCTCGATTGCGAAAGTCACAGGGTGCGGTACAATTCAAGAGACGAAGTGCGAAGTGGCTTTTGGCGCTGGAGCTGGCGTACTCTCCCTGCGCTCGGCGAAAGGCCAAAGGCTATACTCTGCCTTTGACTGTGAGCTTGCGTACTTGGTGCAGTCAACTGCGCCTCAGCGCGAACGTCACTGAAACACTTTATTCTGAACGATGGTGGAGTGCCCAGCTTGTTCGGATTCGGAGCACGCCGAAGCGGGAGCGGACTGAGGAGCCCGCGCTCCGCTCGGCTATTAGCTACGGAGATGCAAGTATAAGAGCCTCTCTCCCTCGAGGAAAGGTTCTCTCCCCGCGCACGAACTCTGCCTTTGTCTTCAGACCCAATCTCGACGCTTGTCAACCCACCAAACCAACGCTTTATACTCTATTCGTCGCATCCGACCACCAATCATCATGGCCGTCATGGACATCCCGCAACAACGCAGATACTCGCAGGAGATGGCCGAGTACACCGCACGTAAATTCCAGAGCTGGAGGCAGGAGCTCGAACGCGAGCGTGCACGAGACGGGCCCCATACGCCTCCGCTCAGTGGCTCGCCGCCGAAGAGGCAGTTCAAGCCGAGCCCGCCATTGAAGATGACAGCTATGAATGGTACGTTCTACCCACTCGGGTTTGGATTGCTGTGTCTCTGATGCTTCCCGGTCTATAGGTGACTGAGCGCGCTCGAGTCTGACGTCTGCTTTGTCTGCCTATCATTGTACCCATATACCCCACCGTACGTATCCTTGCCCACCTCGGCATGTATCCCGGCTGACGCTCGAACAGACATATCCTCAGCTCTGTTCATTGCCATCCTGCTCCCGGCCTCGCTCCCGCATCATCTGTATCACTACGAATCCTATGTATATATCATATGTACGACGCACGAGACACGATACCCGTCGTAATCAGCAACCAAGCCTTCTCTTCGTTTCACGAGTATCCGAGAATTGATGATGGCGGATGAGATGTCGCGTTGATGTTCTTCAAGTTCGAAGTGATGAGCGTACAAGCGTGATAGCGGTCTTCTCAGGTGTCCAAGAAAGACTGGATACAGTTGCGAGGCCTAGGATACAGTGCTGTTCAGAGGCTGTAACCGATGCAGAAAAGTATGCGCTGTGCGGCGGCCTTGAACGACATCTCATTGTCCCTTGTTTGTTCTGGTTTCACGAGTTCCAACATTCTTGATGCTGGATGCTGGATGATGGGATGTCCTGATGCCCGTGTTTCCGTTCGAAGGGTTTTGGCTTTGTTCGCCAGCAACTATGAACATATAGCGTACTAGTGAATGGCCTTTGAGATGGAGCCGAAGCGAGATAACACGGATAGATGGAAAGAGATAAGATGGCTTACGACAGGCCCTCGCGCACGGACCCGCCCCGCCGGCCGTCGAGATGTCGAGAGCTGTACAGATGATGGCGACGGGCGCCTATTGCGAGGAAAGCAATGCGTGGGCGGCAAGTGCCGTGCAGTCGACGACGCGCCAACAGGATTCAGTGGTTGTTTCGGTCAACCATTGCACCTGCTGCAACTTTGCGCGCCACCCTTCGCGACTCCCCCTCGCCGTCGCCGGCGATCCTCGAGCTCCTCTTTCTGCCTACGGACTATCAGCCTGTGTGATTCATTAGTGTTTTGACTTTTTTGCCTCTCTGCTGCTCTTGCTTTCCCCCCAACTTTTAGCCATTATCGTATCGTAACATTGTCATGTCCCAAGTGCGTGCGCCAAAGCCGCAGAAGAAGGCGCCAGACGCCGCCCCGGCCAGGTATGTACTGGTATACCTATATAACATCTATACTGTACTTATACGACATAGACGGCCGCAGAATGCGTGGACGGGCTCGCGCACGTTCTCACCCGCGCCGGCGCGCTCTCCTGCGCCCGGTGCGGCCGCAGCCTCGAACGGCTTCCCGCCTCTGGGCGGCGCTGGCGCCAATGGCAATAACAACAACGCGGGAGGTGCCGAGAAGACGTTGGGCGCGCTGACCGGCCTGATCGGGACGACGATCACCCTGAGCACGCGCACGAGCCAGCGCTACGAGGGCACCGTCGCCAGCACCGCAGGCGAGGGCGACACCAAGGGCGTTACCCTCCGTAACGTGCGCGACCTCAACGCCGCCGGTGGTGCTCAGGACAAGGAGCACGTGTTCATCGCCGCTACCAACATCGCGGACTACCGCTCTGGCCCGGCCAGCTCGGACGCTCGCCAGCCGAACGGTTCTGGGAACCCGGATTCGTTCAAGACCGATACCGACATTTCGCGTCTTACGCAGCCCCGTCGCGAACGTGAGCTTCAGGCTTGGGTCGGCGATGGACCTGGTGAAGCGCTCGGTAGCGGCCCTGGTGGAAAGAATAAGGACGAGCAGACGTTTGGTGCTGGAGCTTCTGGTGGCTCGTGGGATCAGTTTGCCGCGAATGAGTCGCTGTTTGGCGTAAAGCCGACTTTCGACGAGGATGCGTACACGACCAAGATTGACCGCAATGCGGCCGACTTTAAGGAGCGTGAGCGTAAGGCTCAGGCTATTGCCAACGAGATCATGAATGTACGTTCAGTATGTTCCGTCGCGTCTGGATTATATACTGATGCGACGTGTTCAGTCGACAACCAACAACGCGCATATCGCCGAGGAGCGCGTCATGAACGCATCTGGGCCATCAGGCGCGGACGAGGAAGACCGTTACGGAGCCGTCGTCCGTGCACCCGGAGCCTACGTTCCCCCAGGCGCCCGCAAGCCCGGTGACACCAGCGCCCCGGCGCCCGCCTCGGTCCTCAAAGATAAGGACGCGCCGAAGGACAAGGCCGACTCCAAGGACAAGGAGACGTCCTCGGTCAAGTTCGCAGAGGGCACCAAGACAGCCTCGGCAGATGCCGTTCCCAAGGTTGCTGTTGTTGGTCCCGATGGATCGGCGGCTACGGAGGGCGGGAAACCTGAGGCGACTGAGGCGTTCCGCGATTTCGTGACGAACGAGAAGCAGCGGCTCAGCCAGAAGCGGCAGGCGCTTGTCAAGAGCGAGCGCGAGAAGCGCATGGCGGAACTGATGCGCTTCAGCCAGAGCTTCAAGCTCAACAAACCGATCCCGGACGATCTTGTTACCGTATGTCTACTCCCTTTTCGACTATAGCGCTCTCCGATAGTTACTGATCACCCTCGTAGATTCTCGCCAAAGACGAGGACCGCCAAAAGGCCATTCGCGAACGCGCAGCCAAGGACGCGGCAAGCGCCCAAGCCCGTGCGATTGGCGCCCAGCCCCCGAACAGCAAGCCTGCGCCCAACGCCGCTGCCGCCCCCGCCGCACCACCCTCTACCGCTACCCCGGCCAAGCCCAAGCCGAAGACGAGCATGTTCATCCAGGCTATCCCGCCGTTCAAGGGCAAGAAGGCCGGTGGCGACGAGAAGAAGCCCGATGGCGCTTCAAACGGACAAGCGGCTCCGGTCAAGGCGCCTGCGAGCGCGAAGCCGGCGATCGGGAAGTTGAATGTCAATGCCAGTAGCTTCAGGCCCAACCCAAATGCTGCTTCGTTCACGCCGGTTGGTGAACCGTTGTTGTCATCACGAATCCTGTAGCTGACCATTCTTGATACACAGACTTCGCCGAACGTGTCGCAGAGCCCGTTGAAGAAAGAAGCTGCTGGTGGCACCACGCCTTCCGTGCAGGAACCGCCACACCCGTTCTTCGGCTCGCGACCGCTCAAGCGCCAGCCTGTACAGATCAAGGATGCGTTCAACCCGTTCCACCACGCCAAAGTCGCCGAAGCGAGCGCGATCAGTACGTCCCCTTTCCTCCCGATCTATGTACCACAGGTGTAATGTTCTCAACAGCGGCAATGTGGCCATTCAACGGCAAGCGCTTCAACCAGCTCTTCCCGCCTCCCGCCGTCCAGCCCCCGCACGCCGCCCCGCACGCAGGACCCAATGCTCACGGCCCACAACACGTCCCCGCGCCAGTCCCGAACGCACCAAACCCCAACGCACAGAACGGTCCTCCCGGCCAACAGCAACAAGGTCAGCAGCAGCCCGGCCAGGTCCAACAACAGCAGCAACCTCCCGCTCCGTCGCAGAGTCCCATGGCGCCGCCAGGCTACGACGAGGAAGCGATGCAGGCTGCCATGCGCGCTGGTGCATACGTCTATGCTGGACCGTACGGCGGGTATTATCC